TTTTTTTTATTATTACTTACTTTTATCATATTTTTTTTACAAGAACTTATATGTCATACAAAAACACATTCCAACCAGACTTCAAGTATTAAAAATATTAGTAATCTAGCGACTTTTTGATCATTTTATTCCTTATTAATTAAAAAATAATCACTTTGTCTCCATTTCAAAACTATACATCAATTTGTCTCTGTTTATTCCATTACATATTTAATCAATTATAAACTTCTTTTAATCGATTAAATTCTGATTCCACGGAAAAAGTGCCACAACAAAAAAGCAAAAAAGCAAAAAAAATATTGTAATCGGTTTAGGCCTTAAGGTAATGAAGAGCAAAAGAGCCACGTGCGGTGGTTGTGGCAGTGTCTCTGATGGTGCTTTTTGCCATCTGTAGTTGCAACCACATATGTTCCAGAGGTGCAATGTGTCCATCGTGCTGGGTAAATCATTCTACAAAATTGAATTGCTATAACAAGTGGGGAACCACTAGATTATGAAGTTCAAATTCTTTTCTTTAAGTATCCTTGCTGTGAAGAAAACCAACCCATAGGAATAATGGCTCTTGTATCATCAGTTCTAATGCAATTGTCGTCTGAGCCAAAATCAATCCGTATCTTTTCTATTTTGTGCTTCGTAAGTGTTATGTTCATGCGTAAGCTCAAAAGGAAACCGCTCTTTTCCAATCCATATAGGCATATGTGAACCATCTTGCAAAACTCCTCTATACACAACACCATATCCTCCTTCCGCAGTCACATTCCATTGATCAAATTCACGCGTTGCAACCTCCACTTCCTTTAGGGGGTGTTTGGTATGAAGATTTTGAAAGAATCTTTGGGATGATCAAGGATTGTTAATGTTTCAGAAAAGGATTGTGGTACATAGAGGTCCGATGACAGAGGAGGTAATGTCAGAGGCTAATAAGGGCCAATTCACTATCCACCATGGGGATAAGTATGTTTCTGATTTTGCGGACAAAATCCTTAAAAGGTGGGAGAATATAAGAACCCGCACCGTTAATTTAGAAATTTAATTAATTAATTATGAGATAATTTCATAATTAACCCTAATAATTATGAGAAGGCTTAAATAATTATGGTAAGTGTTGTTGATTGCAAATCTGGCATATGGTAGCAGATAGGTACAATGCTCACAAAACCAATGATTATCATCAGACATTCTTCCGCGAAAAGTTCCCTTTAGGTACAACTAGAACATGGTCAAGAGATAACCGAGAGGATAATTGGATGGAACCTTGACCAGTAATGATGGAAGTGCCACCATTGGCAGTGGAAACATGAGATTTTTCATAGGGAAAAAAAGAGGAGAGGGCAGTGGGATCACGAACCATGTGATCTGAAGCTCCAAGAACACCACAACCTTCTCCTAGGCAACAACAAGGAGAGGGAATTAAAGAAACAGATGCAGCCCCTGCTACAGAAGAACAGGTGACTGAGCAAGAGGCTCAGCCACAAAAGAAACTGGACAAAGGAAAGGGGATCCTAGTTCAGTAATCGATTACCTATGTCTAGGTAATCGATTACCTATGTCTAGGTAATCGATTACCCAAAACAGGGGAGCCCAAATTGAGCTACTGACTTCTACAGTAACCTTTGGTAATCGATTACCTCCCCTTACAATAAAACTTCAGAAGACCATAACTTTTGACTCGGGTATCTAAATCACATGATTTTTTTTTATTTCACATAACTTTTTAAGATCTATGCAACGACACCTCATTTGACATATTTTATATCTCACAAACATAAGTCAAATTTATAACAAGAGCAGAAATTGAGCAGTACCGTACATTATGTCTATTCATCCCATGTCAAACAAACTGAAACATAAATTAGTCAAACAAACTGAAACTCATGTCATCGTCAGATTCTTCAGTTGGCTCTTCTTTGTTTTCCTCTTCCTTGACGGCTGCAGCAGTTGGGAAAGCATCAGTATCTGTAGCAGGTGCGGCAAAAGCAGCTACAACAAATTTACTTAGGTCCTATATTTAAAATAATTCGTATAAAAGAAAGATAAAAATAATGGATCAAAATTTTAGTGTCAGATCATCAAAATGTTAAAACCAATACCTTGATCTCCTTAACCATGTCTGCCCGAGTGGAAAGAATATTTTGTCTCAACTTCTATAACAAATATAAAAGATAAGAATTATGGAGATAATTATGGAGAAAATACTTGTAAAAGAAAAACAGATAGAGAAGAATGCCATACTTTATTATGAGGAAGTACAGAAGTACATATCTTAGTGGTTCCAAATCATTCCGTCGGTTTTGCTCTACAACAAAGCTGCAACAAAAAAAACGAAAAATATTACATGTTCATCTAATAGAAGAACAACTTGAGAAGATGAAAAAGATAAACAGAGAGAGAAGAAAAGAGAAGAAATATGTGCACAGAAGCTGATTACCAAATGAAAAGACCTAGTAACACATTATATTTATACACGAAATAATTTTGTTTTTTTACAAAATATTTATTATTATTTTTAACAAAATAATGTTTTTTTATGCAGCATTAATAGGGTTAACAATTCCCGTGTAGAAAGTAGTGAGATATTAATACAATTGTCTGCCACAAAAAAATATTTAACATTTAACTGTTTTCCCACCTATATATCAAGTTTAAAATTCAAAAATTTAAAAAACAGTGACATATTAATACAAATATTTGTCACCAAATAATTTTGAATTCTCTCCCACTTATATCAAGTTTAAAATTCAAAATTTAAAAAAACATTGGGATATTAATACAGAAGCAACAAGAGAAAAAAAATAGAGCAAAAATCTGTTATGCATGATCCTATTTATACACGCAATTAAAGAACTTTTTTAAATTAAAGAAGTATTCCTTTATAATATATAGATAGATGGATAAATAGGATTTCTTTATATAAACTTGACCCCCTGGAAGTAATCGTCCTAGCAAGCAACCAAGTGACGAGGGACTTACGAGTTACGAGATGCGTTCTCCCAAGCCATCAAGTCATTGTGTGACCCCCGTTAGAGGACGCCCATGTCTACAAAGTGATCAAGGTTACTTAGACCCTATACAAGACATAAGCGTATGCCTTTTATGTAATCGCGTACCTGTTATAATATATGAATGCATGCTCTTTACGAATTATATTGAATAACGCTGCAATAATCAATGCGCATGGGTTTCCGCAAGAACAAAATTTTATGTTCTTACTTATGCATACTCGCAGCTATTGTATAGACAAAGATTGCATTTTTAACTTTCACACTCGACACCATCAAATCATCATCCGCGTAAACATATGAATCCACACTATTAACAATTTTATTTTATTTTTTTGGAGATCACACTATTAACAATTAACATTATATAAAATTAATTGCGTAGGAAATGCTTTTGTCCTCTAATTTAATTTTTTAATTGATCAAATTCATCTTTTTATTCTTTTATGCACAAGAAAATTAAAGTCTCTAAGTTATTAAAATAAAATAACGTTTCGTGTTCAAAAAAAAAAAAAAAAAAAGTTAACATGACGTTTCCCTAAAAGCTACTTCCCTTTAACACTACTCATGAATTAATGTTACCAAACTCCTGTGTTGCAGCAATGATGCTTTGCCACCTAAAATGATAATATTAGCGTAATTTGGGAAGACATCCATAGTTTTTTTTTTTTGGTAGGTATCTCATTCAACCTTCTCCGGGCACCATGCCCTCGGGGTACGGCCCGTTTGGGCTAGCCCCTCATTGTAACAGTGGGTCCACTAAGCTTCGCAACCGGAGAAAGGACGAGACTAATCCCCAACCGAAGATTTTTTGGCTTATCCTCTGGCCCCCAAAGATTTTTCAAGAAACTGCTTGAGGCAGGATTTGATCCCTGCACCAAGCAATCCCTTGGGAGCTCAGCTGCCAACTGAGCTACCCTTGGGGTTAAGACATCCATAGTTAACTTTTAGATAAAATGTTGTTTTAATTTAATAATTCAGATAATTAATTCGTAACAAAAACTATTTAAAAGGTGAATTTAAAATCTAAAAGAAAAATAAATTAAAGGGTGGAATTATGCTTTTTTAAAAAATAATTTTTTTATTTGAGAGAAAAATTATCAAAACATAATTAAGATTGACTTATAAAACTATACTGAAAAGGATAAAGAGTAACTATTTTAAATATTCAAAAAAAGAGTAACTATTTTAAAGGTTTTCTATGTCCCAAAAAATCTTCTTAGCATGTCAAAATAAATGCAATAAATTATATGTATATAAAATTTTAAAATGTATCTAAATATCACAACAAACAAGTAACATAAAATTAAGTCATTATATTATTAAATTTTAAATACGATTTTTTTATACTTTATTAAATTGTGTATTATTATATTAATTAATTTTGCAGTAAAAAAATTCATTAAAAATTCTCTTTCAAGTATTTTGATTATAAGTTTTTCTTAAAGCTATTTATTAAACTATGTACTAAGAAATTCTTTTTAAGTAAAAAAATAATTATTTACAAAAATTAAATTTAAAAAATTCGTAACAAAGATAACTTAACTAGTTCATATGTATAGATTCAGCCGTCTTTAGATAGCCCGCCGTTCTTAAATAAACTGCTTAACACCGTAACACGTGACTTCAAATGAGAACCTGGGGTCTGCCACCAAGAGCTCAATCGAAATGATCATCGACATGTCATTATTATTATTATTATAAAGACTAGTAAGATGAGGGAAAGAATCCAAACTTAATTCATGTCACTAATATTATTCAGATTAAGCAAACCCCATTTCAACGGTCCAAAAAAAAACATAGTGACTAAAACAATATAAACCCTTCGGTAGGTGAAATTTATGCTAATTCATGCTGTAAGTTTTCACAAACGAAGTAAAATTTTGTACCGCATAAGACAAGGAAAAGAAAAAAGAAACAGAAATCAACTTAAATTTCTAGCACGTTAATGTCAACCTGTTTGCACTGTAAGTGTAGCTTCTGTAGAACTGAGTTAGTACATCAAGCTGATACATAGCTCAATGTGGGAGAAACCATAAAGCGTGAGGTGGTTGTACGGAAAGACCTCTCAAGGGGATCAAGATCAGTACCATCTGCTGCACTATCGGAAAGACCTCTCAAGTTGATCTTTTGCGAAAAAGACACAAGAGAGTCCACGATTTCAGACATTTGAGGACGGAATTCCTTTACGGGCTTGTGAAAGACACAGAAGTTCCATTGCAACCCAAAGAAAAAGAGTGAATACAATTTGAAAAACCGAAATGGATAATTAACAATCATGAGTAAATTCATTTTTCTTAACTAGTATAAGTTGATATTTAAGTGCTTATATGGTAATACCTGTATGCAAAGGGAGATGATATCAGCATAACGAGAAAGAGCCTTGGATGAGAATGTCCTTTTAATTGCCGGATCCACCATCTTTTCCAGACTCTCGCCATCATGAAGCCTGGACGAAGCCCATTTTGCTAGATATTGCTCTTCCCTTTGCCTGGAACTGTGTTGCAAGAGAAACAGAGGCCATCATTCAACAACACCTTGCTCCCCATTCCCAGGGGAAGAGGAGAGGAAACAAATGAAACGCAGCAAGATAGACAAAAGTCATACCCATCGAAAGGTTTTCTTCCTGTTAACAATTCCAGAAGCAGCACCCCAAAGGCAAAGACGTCACTCTTTGTGCTGCCAATTCCTGGTTGGCCATGTTCCGGTGAACAGTAGCCTGTATCTCTAATTTCAATCTCAGAAGCCTGTTTTCAACAGTTACCAAAGTAGTAAGTGGGTACATATGAAATCGAAACTGGTTAACAATCAACATATTTAAATTGTAACCAAGTTTCTGGTTCAACTCGCAACTGTTAATTTATAAAATTTAAGCAGCTTTTAGCTATACCCAGAAAGCGCAATCTCCTTTTTTTTAAGAAAATATTGTACCTAATGAACAAGAGCAACGGACACAACACCTAGTCTTCATACTGCCACGTACGTTTTTCAATTGGTCAGTTTTGAAAAAGAATTTGTTTTTGATAACAATAAATCATCCAAAAACTAAAAGCAAATACTGTGAGCATTGAGCAAATGTAACTGCTATTGTCGAGCTATCTTTTAACTGGTGGAGCTAAAAGCTTAATGTTAGGTATAACTTCAACCTCGAGAACCTTAGCAGCAATCCCCCATTTCAACATGAAGCTGATTCTTGCAAAAACTTACCCGAGTTTTGACTTTATTGCTCGTCAATGGTCTCAAAACAGCCAAGCCACAGTCACAAACACGAGGGATCAGATTCTCATCCAGTAGAATATTGGCAGCCTTCAAGTTGCCGTGGGCAACAGGAGCAGAGAACGTCGAGTGCAGATAGCTGTAAACATTTGTGTATTTCACGTTTAAGAATTGGGACAGGATTCTACTTTCATATTTAATAAGAAATGAATTTGAGTGGCAACATGGAACGTACTCGAGAGCCTGAGCAACACCGAGAGCAATCCTGAGTCGGAGGGCCCACGATAAAGGTTTGTAAGCCTCACTGTGAAGAGCTTCGTCTAGAGTCAAATTTCTGACAAAATCGTACACAAGAAGACGTTGCCCGTGCTCCAAACAGTAACCTTTAAGTGCAACGATGTTCGGGTGCTTCAGACGGGAGGCGGTACAAACTACATCTAAGAACTTCTCCTCTTCACTGTAAGACAAGCCCGCCATGTTGATATTCTTCACAGCCAAAATCTTTCAAAAAGAAGAATAAATGTGTTATAAATTGAAAGAAACAGTTTTGAAATCTTAACGTGATTTACTGTTTAAAAGGCAGCTTTAAATTTTACCTTGTTATCTGGAAATTCACCCCTGTAAACGGGGCCAAGAGATCCCTCCCCCAGAAGGTTGTCTTCATTGAAGCTGTTTGTAACCAATTGAATCTCCGCTACTGTATAAACCTTCGTCCTTCCAGTAAGTCTGTCTCTTTCTGAAAAACTTCTTCTTGACGTTTCCCCCGTCCCTTTATGGTTCTGGGAATGTAATCGCCTTGGGCCCAAAAGGGATGCAGCATTAAAAGGTGGGATTTGGAGGCTCTTATCCAGGGCCGTAGAAGAGACCTCTATCCCCATTAAAAATGGAAAGAAAAAATAAATAAATAAAAAAGCATGATTAAAAAAAGAAATGAACTTACAGAACTAGTAAATGGAATGGCATCCGGACATATGAAACAGAAACCGAAACAGCAAGAAATTAAGTGGAAAAAAGGACGGGAAGATGAGACAATTGAGTGAAAATTGGCAATGTATATTCACAGGACACATGCTTAGGTGCATCCCTAATTTTTACTCGCTCCCCCACCAAAGTCTTCAGCTGAGTTAGAAATTAGAATTGTATGACTGTATATTCAGTCATTTTAATGTCAAAATTGCATATGGAATGAACAGAAGAATTTTGATATCATTTCAATTTTAGGAGAGGATTCAGTTATCTGGTGTTTTTGCTTTGACTAAGAGTGCCTCACCATCTATACGCCTCTCTGTAAGAATTACCTTTGGCTGCACTGATTGGATGAGAAGGCATTGAACTATGGTTGCTTTCCAAGCTCTTTAGCCCCTGTGTATGGTATCTATTCAAACGGATTGCAATGAAGAGCGCCATTCCCGTTACAATTAATGTAACTCCACCAACCACAAAAGCTATTCCTCCAGGACCCATGCCTTTCTTCTTGTGCTTTCTTACTTTAGGAGGAGCATAGTTTTCGATGGCATTTGCCTGAGTTGTGGGTGGGCGACTAGTATTTTGCTCACCTGGTACACCGTCTAAAGGAAATGCCCAGGGAGGAGAGTTGTCCACTGGATGGAACTTATTCCCTCCAATCCTAATCGAGGGTAGAGTGTGATTCTTCGATGTCATGTGTTCATTATTTCATAACCAAGAAAGGAACTGTAGGTAATAAAAACTGGTAACATTTATCACTAACCATAAGTTTGGTATAGTCTGAAATTGCAGTGGAAGAATGCCACTAAACAGATTTTCTTGAATGTTCCTGACAAAAAAGACAATGAGTAAATAATAGAACAGAAATCATACAATGTGAATTTTTGTTAGAAATAACCTACAAATCAATGAGGGGGAGCTCAGCCAGGTAGGTGACTGATCCAGTGAATTTGTTATTCTGCAGGAACCTGCAAATAAGCACCCCACTACAGATCAAACCAACATGACCTTATGTAATAAAAGTCCTGCGTGGGTATAAGATGAAATACGATTCAAGTTTAGGAAAGAGGGTCAGGGATGTAAGAAAGAAGCAGCTTACAATCTATCAAGGTTTGTCAAGGAACCAAATGAACTTGGCAGATCTCCGGTGAAGTTATTGTATGAAAGGTCCCTGATGAAAGGAAATCATCCCTTGTAAATTGGCAGGTTAAGAATTGAACAAAAGTTAAAAAAAATAAAATAAGAAAACTAAATATTTGCCACCTCACTTTCTCACGACTCAATCCAATTTCAATCTAATTTTCACAGTGCTTCACTTCAGCTAACCTTAGCCTTTTTTTTAGAGCAGCAGCCTTTATCTAGTAGTTTACTGTTTCTCAAGTCTCAACTATCGGATGCACATCCAACAAAAAGTGACTATTGCGGGGGCTATGTTATCTGGCTCTTGGCTTATTTTAATTTATTGTAATTTCTATGCACGTCCCTGTTGCGGTAGTCGCTGTTTCCCCATCAAGCTTTGATTGCAGACACATCTGCCATAATTGGCCTTAAAAAGCCGCAAAGCAAACACGACTGCAACCGCAATTTAATACCTTGATGATTACACACACTACACACACTACTTTTTCCCTTGTAAATTATTAAAAGTTGAGAAGGTTTAGATTGGCTTCATCGTTTTGCTCTTACAGATCCAAAAAATTCAAGATTAGTAATGTTCAGAAAAACCTATCTCTGGAAATGGTTTAGGTTTTAAGTAATTAAAACTCTTTACTCAATGAATCACTTATTCCTTTTATTTTGATTCAAATGCAGTAGCAAAAGACTCAGATGAAATAGACATACATTTCTTTGAGATTATCTAAGCCGGTAAACACATTGCCAATGGGTCCATACAAGAAATTGTGGCTTAAATTCCTGCAAGATAAGAAGCGATAATTTCACAGCCACTTGTAAAAACCACTATATAGTACTCAACAGAGACGACAAAATATAAAGAAACAAGTCGTCAATGGACTTTTGGTTAATAGTATTCCCATTATCTCCTATATCAAGCTTAGAAAAAAATCATTATTAATGTAACTCACAGGTGTCTTAGTTTTTTCATGGTTGTTAATGAATGGGGGATATTTTGGCTCAAATAGTTGCAAGCCATATTTCTGCAATAAAGAAGAATCATCAGAACACACTGCCGAAGATACAGGTATACTCATCAGTAAACATAGTATTTAGTCATGCAGGAGCCAAATGAGCAGAAAAGTAGGCTTACATATGTGTGGCATTGGGGGGTAAACCGTTTGGTATTTCACCCACGATGTTGTTAGAACTGACATCACTAAGGAAACATCCCGGTAAGTCGCACATCTTGACAATAAAAAATTCCGTGTAAGAATTTGAAGCTATACAATTACTTACAGTTGCTTCAAGTTCTGCAGATTATAGAGCGAGCCTCCAAGATACCCGGTGAGGTTTAATCCTTGAATTTTGCTGCATGAGTAGAGTGCAGGAATAACGTTTATTAGTGGCATTATAATCTGAATGAGATTATCATCAGCAGAGTTGGTGCATTACAGGTGTATAACTGATGATCCAGAACATGCTACACCTGTCCAAGACTCCTCACAAGGGTCACCACCGTTCCATCCTTGCAGCGCTGTTGGGTAGTTTAAGGCCCTGTATAGATCCTGTAGAGCTGTGACTGTTTATAAAAAAATTACAAGAATATATAGTTTAGTGAGAGCAGAATGCTATGCGAAATGTTGAGCTACAAAAAACAATTTCAATTTAATTTGAGTGCGAAGCTGAAGCATGTGACTTTCCCCCCCCCCCCCCCCCCCCCCCCCCCCAGGTACAAGTACAAATGTACAACCCTCAAAAGTCACAAATACATGGATTTTCTGTACGTTATCTTAAATAACGAGTAATCTATTGTTTTGGTTCTTCTGTCAGGACTTAAAAAATGGACCGTAGTTATAAAATACTAACAAAATCAAATAATAAAAGCTGAAAGCTGAAGCCAATAAACCTGAGAAAACCCCAACGAACGGTAAAATAAAAAGCGTGAAATCAGCAATTAAGTGTAAGCCCTCAATCACAGAGTTGCAGGCACGAATGAGACTAATTTGAATTCATTCAGAATGCAGAGTATGCGTAATTTTCTTCAATATCATCTTGAATTCAAAGACAATACAACGTATCGCATACTATGTCTATTTTTTCAGCAACCAAACTAAAGTTATTTAATCAAATTTTCAACTATTCATTTTCAAGAAAAGATTAATCTAGGATATTACAAGAAATCAAGAATGAATAAACAGTTCTCTGAATTACCGTCAGTTGGATCAGTAAATGCCAAACCCTGAGAAATCAAAGTTGCCGAGAAGACAACGACGACGAGATACACGTAGACGTTGTTGCAAACCATATTTTGCAGAGAATCAGAACCATCCGTCAATGGCACTCCTTCCTTGCTTTCCTTTCCTTGCGTTCCTTTCCAATAATTGTTTCTCGCTGTAAATGTCGATTAGGTCTAAATTCTCGAGTACAGAATTCAGATTTTCTTTCGATTTTCCTCAGCTTTCTCGGTTCCCAAACACAAAACTGAATTGAAGTGGACGAAGAGAAGAAAAAAAGATTTCAAGATCGAAGAAAGAAAAGCTAACGGTTTTGGACACACTCACTGGTGACAATGTGAGTGAGCTCGGTGATCTTTCTTTAACTGTTATAGTGACGAGAGTTTGTTTCTTGTAAGGTGGGGTCCACGTAGCTGAGTTCGTTATGGTTAGTTTTTTTTGGCGCGAAACGGGCAGGTGCAGCAATCACACGCCCTTGGCACTCTGAGTCTGAGTAATCAATGCTCCTGAACCACTTATTTACATTTTGCATAATGGAAAATTATTAACTATGATTTATTATTGTAAAAAATCAATTCAACTCAAAAAGTTAAGCTGGGTGAAACTATATTAATGGTTTTATATATCTCAACACGCCTCATCACGGGTGAAACTATATTAATAATTTTATATATCTCAACAATTATCACTAGTTTGGTCGTGAGTCGTGATGTTCAAAAACACCCTCGGGAAGTTAAAGGAAGTTTGATGAATGTATTATTAGAAGCTAAATTACTAGAATCGAGATGCGTTTTATACAAAGACATCATTTTGATCTATCATTAATTTCTTCGGTGTGGCAACGAGCCATATTTAGGCTTGACTCTAATGAATATGGCAAGATCAGGTTTGGCTCAAAATAAACCAAGCTCATCACGAATCCATATGCATGGTTTAATAATAAATTTGAGATGCCAAGCTTAAATTATGTAATAATTGAGCTTTTGGGGTTAGCAACTGTTTTGACCATAAGAAATTGGGTCAAATGACACACGGTTGAGATGGATATAGATAAGTGTTTTGTTGAAATAGATGGATGCAAAGAGATCTCTATTCTATTATGAGGAGGGTTGTAACACCTCGTTCTAGAACCGGTTTGTTATCATTGTTTTATGATATTAAACATAGTTACAATCACATTGGTTCAATTAAAAATCTGGATAGATTTTTTTTTCTTTTTAAAAACACCCAATCTAAAATAACCAATTGTGTGACCATAACCGTTTAACATTGCGGAATAATTAAAACTAAGCTTAACATCATATTCTTATTTCATTTACGTTCAATACTAAACTATCTTCACTTTTTATTAAATTGGGGTTTCTATACTTCCTTTATAGTCCTCATCTCATACTATGTTATAGATCTCTCTGTTAGCTTCACGTGGATTCAAACCGCGCTCAAATCGGAGACCTATAGCTTAAGTTATGCCAATTTTAATAAACTAGGTTGGTGCCGTTTTTGGGATGCGCGCCCGAGTGCCCAAAGACTGCAAATTTTGCCATCGTCAGGTTTTTTAACGCGCTTGGGCGCAAACTAGCGCACTTGAGCGACCAAATCAGCGCTTGAGCGCCGAAATTAGCGCTTGAGCGCCCAAATTAGAGCTTGAGCGCTAAGAGGCAGTCAATTTCATTTTATTTCACGCATATAACGCGCTTGAGCGCCCAAATCAGCGCTTAAGCGCCCAACACCTGGGGCAGACTTGGTCTCCCCTGTTTTTGGTGAGTTTCTTGGGGAAACTTCATTCCCCTTTTATTCTTCAACGGCATAACACCTAATTGACAAGGAAAGGCCAACCATGGTCACACACCATATGGCACCTACATCCCACAAACACTTTACCAATTCATTATGCAAATCAAAACAATAAACATAACTTCATATTCATCAATGTTTTGAAGTCTCAATTACATCAATGTTCTCCCAAATCTCATATACATGCCGAAAGGACTTAGCTACCAAAATGAACATGATCAAAGCAATTAACCATATACAACATACCAATTACTACTACAATGATCATGCACTAAGTCCTCCAAACTACATCATATGGCCATGTAAACGATATATATATATATATATATATATATATATATATATATATATATATATATATATATATATATATCTAACAATTCTAATGGATATGCAGTCCCAAAATGACAAGCTATCATGTGCCATCTACTCAGGCCTCTTGCCTCGTCCCACATCATTCATGCTAGTATCTGAAATAGCATTCCCCAAACGAGGTGAGATAAAACTCAATAAACCCAGGGTTCTTGGAGAGTTCCTCCAACCCCCAGAGTTCACTTTCTGCATGAAAGGTTAGTATTCACATGGCATGAACTACATCATATATCCAAAGGCACTATAAGTAATGACTTAATCGCAACATACTCATGCATTCAAATGGCCAAAGAATTAAACAATCAAATCATCACACACGCTTCAGTTGCATCTTAGTCCTTTCCACTAAGGGCATGTTTGGTATATAGTATAGGATAAAGCTTGATAGTATAAGATCTGATAGTATAAGACCTGATTGTATAAGACTTGATTAAATTTTAATACTATCGTGCGTTTGGTATGGTATTGTATAAGATAATACCCTCTAATATTTTAAAAATTAATATATTAAAAAAAAATTATTTTAGTATATTAATATTGAAATGATATATTAGTTCTTGAGAATTGTACTTTTAAGCAACATTAATACATCAACCCCTTATCAGGCCTAATCCTACCCCTTAGGCTTGATTAAGTTATACATCATTTTGATGTATAAAGGGATCCTGCTGTATAAGCTTATACTATACGATGGCCACACCAAACAACTGAAAATGTCATAACGTATAGTATAAGCTTATACTATCAGGCCTTATACGTCACACCAAACAGGCCCTAAGCATACAACCTAGCCCCTAGTGCTTGTCCATTGGCCCATTCTCCAATGACACAACAATACTATATGAATGCAAACATACCATAATACTAACATTACCACTCAATCATCCATTCATTAACCATTACTTCCATAAGAGCAATGGTGGAACAACAAGAGGGATTAACCTCCAAGATCCAAAGGTTTACCTCTTGATGTTTCCTCTCATTTGCAAGCTTTCTTCTAGCTCACTTATCCACACCAACCTTTCTTGGTATTTCAACTTGGTAATTTCTCCTAATCACCAATACACCCTATTCAAGAGTGTGAAATCCATCAATTTAACACACCTACAACATATTCAAAAACCATACAATCAAATTCACACTACAATTAAGGCATGAACTTACCAATCAAATAGCCTAATCAAGCTCCTTGCTAGACAATCAATTCAAATACTCAACATTAACATCATTCTTAACTTACCTTTTGTTCTCTAATGATGAAAAAGGCAAGGGTTTCACACCAATGGCTCCACCAATGGGTTTTCCTCTAACAAAGTGTCCTCAAACACATCTCTACATCATGAGACACAAGAAAATCAAAATTCATCCAGCACAATGATGAATTCCATGGCACTATTCACCTCAAAACCTAGCATCCATGAAAATTTATGAAAATCATGTTTGAGTGAGGAAAACTTACCACCTATCTTCATAGAATACTCATAGAAGTGAACCCCAAGCTCCCTTGCTCTTAAAACACCCCAAAACACCAATCCCTCTCAAATTTTTGAAATCTTTGGGAAGGAGATATCTTTCCCCACAAGGATTCCCACTCAAAACCAAGGTTGGATTCACAATGAGGGGAAGATTCTAAGTGGTTTTGGCTTTGGAATGGGTTGATTTGGTTAAGGATAGGGAAAGTTAGGGTTTGGTCTTCAAGTTTCTCTCCTTCCCTCTCAATCGCTGCACCCATGAGGAAGAAGAAGGAAAATGAGGGAAGTGGGTCTAATTTCTCAACTTACATGTGTTAAGTTATCTTAGGGAGGTATAAGCTTATCTATCTATTTAACTCTGTTCACTTCCAAACTTTACCCAAAGGTCTGAAATATTTTTTTAGGAATATTTTTACTTTTACTTTTATATTTTGGGTACTTTTGCCTACACCCGTTTTTACCCTTTAATTCTCACCAACTGCACTTTTTGACTCAAAATGGGCCTTAATCCTTTTAATCAGGTATTTTACCTAATTTAACCCAATAATGCATGATTAATTATTTAATCACATGCAATTTATTAAATACTTGGGTTAGAGATATTATAAGGGTGATGAGTTGCGAAAACTTCTGGATAGGTATCCTACATCTGAATTGAATTCTTTCTGGTTAAGGAATCTCTTTCTAGTTGCTCTGGACATGGAGTGTGAATCAAACCCATGTTTGAATTGAAATTGAGATACTGATGCAAGTTTTTCCCTTCTGAATCAGGTAGATTCATATCTGAACCTTTCAATTGGCTAGAATCCGTTACTTGAATGAAACTAGATCTCATGGAATCATATTGAATATTTGATGATACATGGGGCGTTTGATACATGAGATAAATTTTGTTATCAGGGAAATGTAATTAGTGGGAAAATGGTTGGAAATTAAATTAGTGGGGAAATTTAAAAAAAGTTATTTGGTAGACCGGAATATTACCAGGAAAATTATCAATAATTTACTAAGACTATGTTTGGTTGAAAGTAAAAGATTGATAGGAAAAAATATCAAAAACCGAAAATACCCCTTACAAATCTTGACTTTCTTTATTAAATAGACCCGTTGTAGTATCGTTGGACACCTATGCAACCAATGTTCGTCATTTTGTTGTCCCTTTCTATGTTTGTCGCTCCTATTGAAGGCCATATTGCATCACTCCGGCAAAGTCAGGCAATGGTCTGAAGTTGAAATCAGCACCGACATTTCAGCTTGGACATCAGCATCAAGTTGCAAGGTGCCATCATAAAGTGAGTAACGAATGTTATCCTTTTCATGTATAGAGGCATCTTCCTGTTCGCTGTTAGGTTTTCATTCATAGTTGCTTTTTGTGCTGGTTTTCGTTTTCATGGTTGGGGGTGGAAAACATTATTTTGTTTTTTTTATGGTAA